GGGCCTCCTGGCTCGCCAGATCTTCTTCTGAAACTGGGGTGCAGGTCAGCGGTCAGGACAGAGCCAGCTCGGGCAGCTCCAGAGATGGTGAGGACGGAGGGAGGGTGGACGGCCGGTGGCTATGGACGCCAGAGAGGAGGGGGAGTGGGGGGATGGACCCAGGGGGAACGGATGGATGGAGAGAGAAATGAAAGGAAGCGGGAACAGTGGCCCACGCCGGTTAACCCAGCAGCTCAGGAGGCTGAGGCAGGAGGATCGCAAGTTGGAGGCCAGCCTCAGCAAAAGTGAGGCCAAGCAGCTCAGCCTGCGTGCTACCACCATGCTGTGTGATTCGAGCAAATCTGTCTCCCTCTCTGTGCTCACAGGGCATTTTTGGTCCACATGGGAACCCATCTCGCAGAAGAGGTGGACACAGGGCAGGATCTTATGGGGACAGCAGGAGAGATGGGGCCATGTCTGCCTGCCACCCACACGACCATGGGGCATGGCGTCCCTCTGTCCCTCTGACCTCTACCCAGGCGGGAACGTGGATGTACTTGCTGGCCACAGACCCACAGCCACCCAGACAGGGGTGAGCCTCAAGGGCAGGCGAGCTGAGATGTGGTCCATGAGCCAGGCCCGAGGGTCGCTCCGAGAAACACAAAGACCTCAGCCGGGCGCGGGGGCTCACGGGTGGGCCATTCCAGAGCTCGGGAGGCTGAGGCAGGAGGATTGTGAGTTGGAGGCCAGCCTCAGCCACAGCCACGGCGAGGCCCTGAGCAGCTCAGGGAGACCCTGTCTCTACAGAACAGGGCTGGGGACGGGGCTCAGGGTTGGGGGGCCCGAGGTCAGCCCCTGGGACCAGAAAGAGAAATGCGGATCCTCAGGCCACCCCACTCTCTGGGGAGTCCCTGGCCAGGGCTGCGGGGGACGGGGACAACGTCTGGGCTGCGCAGCATGGCTCCGCAGTCACCAGGAGAACGGGAGAAGGAGCTGGCCCTGGGCCTCAGGAACAGGACGTGGGCCCACCCGGGGGCACCTCCCACGTGGCTCAGTGACACTGAGTGACTGTCTTGGGGCTCTGTCCCAGGAGCCAGACCTCATGGACACGGCGAGGCCCGGTTCCGAGCCTGTCCACCCTGGGGGATCAGGC